CTCTCTCTCTCTCTCTCTCCCTCTCTCCTTTCCTCACCCCCCCTTCTCTCTCTTCCCCCTACCCCCCACCCCTGCTTGCCAATACTAGTGTGGGGAAGATGGTAAAATTGAGAGGCACAGGAAGATAGGGGGACAAGGGGGGGAGTGCAATTAGAGAACTGGGTGTTTGTACCTTAAAAAAAAATAAGGTGACAAAGTGGTTAATGTCTTTGCAGGTTGGTGTTGATATCTCGAATCTTACTGCCACAGTCCAAATAGAGTACTAATTACTGCGAATGATGTCACCGTAGGCAGAGGAATAATCCCATCATTTAATTAGTTGAATGATTTAAACAAAGATTTGCATAGATGCACTAATCAGTTGCCATGAATTACAGAGCAGCAGTTGCCAGCGAGGGGTAACAGATCATACAGTTGGAGGGAAAAAAATCTCATCTCCTTGAACATAATTAATTTAATTGTCCTCATTAGCTGTACCATTTGTTTTGATTTTATTTCTCCCTTTCCCCACACATACTTCTCCCTCCCTCCCTCTTTTCTTCTTCTCAGTACATTGGCTGAGAGAGAGAGAGAGAGAGAGAGAACCTCTTGCTCTCTCTCTCTCTCTCTCTCTCTCTCTCTCTCTCTCTCTCTCTCTCTCCCCCTCTCCCCCTCTCTCCCTCTCTCCTTCTCTCCCTCTCTCTCTGGGTGTTTTCAGAGTGGCAGGAGCTGAGGTAGGGTACATCAGCAGGAGCTGTGTGAATGGGTGGGGTGCATGCATGCCTGCTCAGACTGGCTGGAATAGCCAAACTTAAGACATCTGCCCATGTCCAGAACAAATCAGCTGACGGGATTCTTAGTAACCTGCCGTCTGTGACTTTCGTTATTTTTCAGGTTAGTTCTGAGTTTTGTTGCCTTTTAGAGGGAGAAGGTAGCAAACTACATGCTCTGTTATTATGAACCTTTAAAAAAGGAAAGGGATAAAAAAATAAGTGATCAGTCTGTGCTCTTTTATATCAAGAGAAGCATAATAGAACCTAAGCATTTGTGCAGAAGGGGGTGCTTTGAATTTACTTAGTAATACCTAGATTAAAACTAATGATACTGAGAAGAAAAAAGTTGGTTGGAGTTCAAAATTGGATTCCTTTTTGACCCTTAAGACATGTCAGCCAGTGTCGCTCAAACTTGGATTATTTTTTAGCTTGACCTTTGATAGGGCTGGTGAGGATGGTGTAATAATTGCTAAAAAGAAAGGATGACTTTGAAGTTAAACAACTTAGGAAAATGAGATACGGTAAAGTTACCAGTGGCCTTCCTCCAGTCAAAGTAAAGTGAAGAGGAGAGGCGTTTGGGGAGAAAGGGACCGATTTCAAGGAAAAGAGATATTCTGACAAGGCCTCTGAAGTCCGTGAAGACAGAGCAGTCATAATAAACTCAGTGGCTGTTTAACCAAGTTTGTCTTGAAAACCTGCTTCCCCTTGGTGCCCTTGGGTTATTTTTTTTCCACTCTAGTGTATGAATTTTCAATTGTATGCAATTCAGAGAATTTCAGGAGGTGTTTCAGAAGAGGGTGGGAGAGGGCTCAGGACTGTGAACAAGTTCACAGCTCCAGTGGTGGGTTGGCTGGCCAACGGAGGCAGGACGCTAGGCTGGCCAGGACCTGGCTGGCTGGGTGACCTGCCCAGGGGAGCAGTGACTTCAGAGAGTTCATTCTTGGAAGTCAGAGTCCAGGCACTGACTGCAGCCAGCTGCTCCTCCCCCAGACATGTCTTAAAGCGGAGAGCTGTGAGCTTTTCTAGTTTATTGTGGTAGCAGTTTGATTCCCTTGCTTTTAATTTCCATAATTGGTAGCTTCAGAAATGGCTCCGGAAGGCAATTTGCTTTAAATATGTCCACCTATGCCAAACTGCCGTGGTTATGCTAGGAGTTGTACCCTTTGCCTCTGGAGTTCTTTCTCAGGACTTCTGTTGGACCGGTCCAGAAGGTAGGGTCCTTCCTGACTCGACTTCCAAGAAGGTCACTTTTTGCGCACAGGGTCGTCCCCAGCGTTTGCGAGTAGAGCAGCCTATGCTTGCGGTTGTGCTGACTGCTCTCGCAGGCTTGTAAATTTTCACCCTGGGAAATTAGCAACAAAGCCCGATCTGTCTCGTGGTTGCTTTGCACTTTCCGAGGGCGGCTGTACTTGACTGAGCTGCAGAACAGGCACACGAGAGCGAGAGCGAGGGAGCCTGCAAGAGAGGGAGGGAGAGAAGAAGGGGAGAAGAGGGGAGGGGTGGGGGCGAGAGGTAAATAGTCTTAAATCGGAAGGGAGCTGCTTCTCTGCGGTCTTGACAAGCGCTGCCTGGGCTCCGCCGACTCAGTAATAACTGAGTGACCTTTTCTTTGGCTGTATTATGTCTGGCTGGGAAGGGATTGCATTTTGCAGCTGAGAGCCGGGGCTTCCTTCAGCTCCGCTCCTCGCGTGCTGCTGGGGTAAGTTGTCTTGAGCCAGGACGGAGACACACAGCTTGGACTGCATTGCCTAAAAGGAGGACACCTGTGGCTCAGATGCGGTCAACACCATTACTTGAAGGATCCTCGAGGACCTCATTATTTTAAACTTAAAAAATAGAGAATCCCTCCCCCCCTTTTTTTCAAACAATGCTTCTTTTTGACCTTTCCCAAGGAGAAGCGCTACAAAGCAGCCACTGTGCTTACTGAACTGCCTCCCCCTGTATCGCTTAATTGAGAAGGTAAGTGCAGCAACTGTGTACACACGCGGCGGCTTATTTGCGGTGTGTGTGTCTGCGGGTGCGCGCGTGCGTGTGCGGATGTGGGTATTTTTTCTTCCCCAGCCTCTCCTAATGAGGCATAAACTGGAGCTGCAGCTCAGCTCCGCACTGCAACTTTCAGTCGGGCTGCAGCTCTGCTGAGACGGTTTTGTTTAAATCATGTGAGGCTTCATTATTTTTATGATGAGACATGAAATAGATGCAGGCGGAAGATGTTGATGGAAGGAGGGAGCGCGGCTGCCGCGCGGCACGTCTCAAGTACGACTTGAGTGGCTAATAGTCAAAGTTCACGGTGAACTGCAGTATTTTCACACCCCTGACTCCTGGGGAGAGAGGGGCCCCGAGAGTTTGGAATTTGGAGTGTTCTTTCTGGTCCGGGCCCTGGGAGGGGAATTCTGTCCTAGATGGGTTTGTTCACCCCCTCCTCTTACTTGCCAGATCTGTGACCCCCTCTTCATTCCTCCCTACCTCCCCCCCCCCCAAAGAACTGCAATGACTGGCAATCTTTCCTGGTCGGTTGTTCACACAACACTCTGCCTTCTCTCCTGTAATGACAAAATGTTTGTCCTGAGTGATGGAAGAATGACTATTGGGGGCGGGAGATCTGGGGGATAAGTGGCCAGGAAAGAAGGGTTCTGGGGAACAAGGTGCCTCTGCCCTAATGGCTTGAGATTCAAACTGATGCAGCACGTTTTTACAGGGGCTACCCGGATTGCTGTTATGAAATACGAGTCAGATTTATGATCTTTTTCCTATTGAACATGATATGCTATGCTAACGCTGCATGTGACAGTTTAATCAAATCCATTTGTTACCACGAAGCTAAAAGGGGCCGCTGGGATTTTAGGATTACGGGCAGAGTTAAGGAAGCATGTGGCTTTGTCATTCGCCATCATTTTGCACACTGCCACACTGTGAGGGGCTCTGCGTGCGCCGAGGCTCGTCTGGCTGCCCTTATCCCTTCCCCCACCCCCTGCCGCTGCTCCGACCTGCTCCCAAAGTGGCTTCACAATAGTCGGTCCTCCGTGGCTGGCGCAGGCTGCAACCAGGTCCACACTTGAACCAAATCACGGAGACCCCCCTCCGCTTTTACCTTTGGGCTTGGTGCTCAATGCGAAGCTGCTGCAGCTCAGGGACGCCTAAGTCAACTCATGCAGAAAAAGGAGAAAAGTTTTGGTAAGGTTACATCTATCCTGGATGCACTTGCTGCGCTCCGCACTCTTGGCTGCTCAAAAGCCTCCCTGCTCTTGCGCTGCTTTTGTGTCTTTCGAAAAGATCCGAAATATTATTGTTGTAACTGCTTTGAAAGACTGCTGCTTAAACCAATTAATCTTGCTAGGTGCAACAAATACTGCTACATTCTTTGCAAATCATTCCTGTGTGGCTGCAAAGACCCAACCACAAAAGGCTGGAGCATAAACTCCGCAAGGGATTCTTTGTTAGAGTGTATGTATGTTTCTTATTTTTTTTTTTTTATTTTGCATGTGAGCTGCATCAAAATTGAACTCAGTCTTGCAAATCTCTTGTTGGCCTTTGCCAAGCACTAGCACTTTGCTGCCATGGTAACTGTAATTAAACTGATAAGAGTGGAAAAATGTCAGTATCTCTGAGCCTTGCAGCTGCATTGGAGAAAAAGGGAATCAAATTGGTTCCCAGCTCCATTGCTCAAAAAAGGGGAGGGGGTGATGGAAGGCTGGGGAGGGGGGCTGGGAGTTGAAGGGGCAGAACAGAGTTAAGCAGCTCCAGTGCCTGAGATCTGGGGACATCTATTTGCATTGTTGTCCCTTAGGGGGCTGCAGCCTGTGGGGATGCTCTGGGCCAGTGAACAGAGAGAAACAAGCTTTTAGGCCCAATCCAGTTCTCCAATGGGGCTGGGGGCTGGGGAGAGGATGAAGATGGTCAGGAGGAGGGAAAATCTTTTGTTTGGTACCTCTTGGCAATGGAAGGGCCACGTTGGCCAAATTCTTTTAATCTGTGTCACTGCTCCCAGCTGCAGAACCTGCACTCCCATTTTAGCATCTTCCTAAGGCACCTCATCTCTGCCAGCCCCCCTCTACGGACTCCCCCTTCCTGTGCCTTCTCCCAAATTGTTCTCTGTGAATCTTCCAACAGGGACAAAATGTTTTCCATTCAGTATGTGTAGTTAGTCCAAAAATATAAAAGACTGGGTCTGAGTGCGGCAAATCTTTTATTATGATTATTTTTTTAAACCCCTGTGTGTTGCGGAGTTGTGGTTACTTTGTGGTGTTAACTACTGAAGCTGAGACTGCGCGGATGGATGGCACAGAACAAGGGAACATAATGGAGCCACTCAAGCGTTAGGCAGCCTCACAATGCAATCCAGGCAATTAAAAGCTCACCAGAGTTTAAATGAAATGGTTCTACTTATTTCTGCACAGCACACTGCACGGGCTATTATTTATGTCTTTTTTTTTTAATTATGATTTCCCTTAAACTGTCAAATAACTCAGAATGGCAGGGTCTCAGAGGCAATAAGAATTTCCCTCAGAACAATTTACATGCCAATCTAAAACTAGTTATGAGTCCTGATGTGCTAGGTGCAACTTGTGAAATGTTTCACAGCTCCAAACACATAACTCTATCCAGACGTGTTCCTGGATTGGTGAAGGGGAGCTGCTGACTGCTTTCTGCCTTTCAGGCACTGGCAATGTGAAGAAACAAACTAGTTCCTTTCCTACAACTGAAAACTTGCATAGTATCAAAAATATTTCCTTTTTATCAGAAATGTGATGTTCTCTAAAAGAAAGTACCAAGATGGAGTATAAAATATCAAACTCCTTTTCTGCCCAAGGCCAACAGAATGTAAGAGTTTCAAATATTAATTGGCCTCTGAGTGCTAAATTAAAATGTCAACACAACAAAAACATTTTGTGAAGACAAGCAGGGTGGTGTTACTTTTGCCAAAATGTTGGTGTTGCCTGTCTTAGTTGCACAGCATTTGGAATAGAGATAGCTGACCTTCTAGGTTTGACGTGAGTAACACAACTAAGAGAAATAGAGCTACAAAAAAGGACTGTTTTTAAAGGATCTTGTGTAAAAAAAAAAAAAAGGAATAGCCTTATAAACTGGATAATCAGAATATCCACTCTGCGAGTACCACTGGCTGTTTTCAATAACATGGAATAATGTGGAATGCCATTTAGCAGATCCAAATGAGCCCCATCACCACCACCAGGTATGAAGTTTAGAGATACTTGGGTGGTTCTGTGCTCTAATGAAGGATGCAGTCTTTGTGGAACCTTGCTGGGAGAGGATAACTAGTTCTGATGAAAGAAACTTCATTTGTCCGAAGTTCTAGAGAGAAAGATTTAGCAGAGCTATCAAGAATATGACTAATCTACACTAGAACCTTATTCCTTTGAAGCAAAGGGACAGAGTGCAGGCTGCAGGAACACCACCTGCTCTTCTGTTCAAATCCAGCTGCTCTCCTGCAGCTCCCACAGCCAGGACTATACACAACCTGCTCAAGGAAAAGTCGCGCTGCTTTCGTTCTCCCTGTCCCTGCTCCATTACTCTGCCAGAGAAGTTATTTTCTAATAGAAGTTCAACAGCATGACAGTGTTATTGGCGATGCATTTTCTGTTTGTAGCCTGAAAAGTTTCTCAGCTCTGAGGGAAGGCCTTCACCTTCCCATGTGTCTCCTTATCAGTGTGATTAAAAAAGAAAGACGTGGAGTCAAGGGAGGTGAAACCTTCCTCCTCAGGTTTCCTCCTCTTCAGAGGAAACGGAAAACTGAAGACCATTTCCTAGGGGTAAGGAAGTATACCCCAAATGCTGGACAACACAGTCTGGTGTTTCTGTTCTTAAAACTGTGTCAGATATTGCTGTTTTGTATCCTTCTCCAAAGTTTAAACCTTTATGCCTTCGGACAGGAAGCAGAAGATAACAGCAGGACCTCTGGGCTGTGAGGCCACGGAGTCCAGTGCTCTACTGTCACTCAGCTTGGAGCCAGCTCCTGAGACCTAAAAAGGTCTCAGGATCAGAGTTTGTGAAATGAGGGGATTTGGACTGATGCAGTCTGCAGTGCTTAGAATGGCCATATGATACTGATGAGGCTCTGACTAGTTCAACTTCTCTTTTTTTGAGGGTGATATTTGACACTTAGGAAAGAAGAAACCCAAATCCTTTCATTGAAAAAATTTCAGCCAACTACACAATTCATAGAACTCGGAACACTCCTATTTACGCGGGAGCTGTAGCTTTAAAATACAGAAATGTGCCCACGCCTAGTACCTAAGGTGTATATAATCAGTGAATGTATTTATATGTATGTGTCTAATTTTGTATTCATTTAGATGTTATTCTCCCCCCTGCCCCGATATTTCTCCCCGCTAAGCTAAATGAACACATATTCATGGTGACAAATTATATAAGCCTATCCTTTCATTTAATATAAAAGCAGGTAGTATGTAGTTAAGTAATCTGACATTAATAGTGGTACTGATTCTTGTGAAAAGAAATACATTTTTTTTTAAATGTGATGAGTATTTTGAAAGATGGAGGGCACCAAAGGAAGTATTTACATGTGAACAAGTGATAAGGTTCTGTGACTATTCATGTATGCACTTAACTATGCACTTAACTATAAACACCCCAATTGCTAAAGAAGGCTAGTGTGACCCCCAGGAATGCATTCTCCTTCCACCATCAAACACATATTAAGTAAAAGATTTAATCAGTAAAGAAAAACTCATTTTGACTCTTACAGGTTTGCACAAAATAGTTTAATTCGTTCTTTTAAGATTTTAACCACGTACTCACATTCTTTCCCTTCTAAAGGAGCTTCTTTATATAGAAAATGGAGACACACTAAAATTACTTCATGTTATTTAACTTTATAGTATGTCAACTTCCCATTATATTATTACTTTATGTGACTTTATAGACATTTTCCTAAGGAGTTTATAAAGTGTGAGCCTTTTTGTTTGCAAAATTTAGCTTGATTCCAGGACAGCCCTGAAAGAGAAAGTCGAGCAGTCCTTGTAAAAGGCAGTGTTAACTATTTAACTTGTTTGAGCACTTTAGACATCTTTCCGTTCTTTCTTTAGCCCCAGCTCTCTGTTTTTGTCTTCCTTTAGGTATACAAATGCTCTCAGTCCAGCCAGACACCAAGCCGAAAGGTTGTGCTGGCTGCAACCGAAAGATCAAGGACCGGTATCTTCTAAAGGCACTGGACAAATACTGGCATGAAGACTGCCTGAAGTGCGCCTGCTGCGACTGTCGCTTGGGAGAGGTGGGCTCCACCCTGTACACTAAAGCTAATCTTATCCTTTGTCGCAGAGACTATCTGAGGTAGGAATTATCCTTGCACACCAGTGATGACTGGATTCCTTTTAAAATCCTTTTGTAAGTGTATCTTTTTTGTTTCATTTCCTTCACACCAGCTTACATCCCTGAAAGGTGTTGACCTGTCAGCCCTCTCAAGGTTGCCAGGTGCCTGTTGCGCAGAGGCCAACAGCCCACGTATCTGTCGAGTTCCATTTCACTGACAGGATGTTCTCTTTAGGGACAAGTTGTACCATGGCCTGTAGTGAAACTGCCAATTCATGTCAAGGATATACTGGGTAGAAATCAGTATACATTTGTTTTATTTTTTTTTTCCCTTTTAGAGCATAAGGGGCAAGGTAGGTTGAACATAATATAAAGTTATTCCGTATCTTCTGCTTCAGCATTCTCAAAGTCAGAAATTCTTAGCTGGTATTTATCAGAGCATATTTATGGTGCAGTTTCAAAACTTTCCGTGTGAGTAAGGCAAGTGGTCATTGTAAAGATACCAGTGAAGCAGGAGACTTGCCAGCAGCTTGATGGAAAATAACAGAGACGACCTCCGTCATGACGGGGATGGCCAAACAACAGCTTCAGGCCAGTGCAGATATTCTTTCTCACGAGGATATGGAACCAACTAACTGTACTTCTTAGCATTTAATACTCAACCCGTGAACTACTTAAGAAAAATTATTTTGCTTTTTAGGGAACTTTGTGGCTTGATTCAGCAGCAAATTACTTATATTAATAAAGTAGGCTCTATCAAATGAGAGAAATGATATATGGCATCATTTGGATTTTCATATTTGATATAATTAATCATTTTTCTAGTCTGACATTAAGCGATTTATTTTGAAATTTTTTCCCTTCTGCCACAAAGTTTATCAATCAACAGTAACTCCTTAACCACCTCAGACATTCTGGGAGGTGTTTGCTCTGGAATTTACTGCTTCTTAATATGTAAATCAGTTATTTCCAGTCCAATTCAATCTATACATATAAAAATATATCATTTGATTAATGGTAGTTACATAAGGGTGAATCAGTAATGTTTATCAGGTTCTACTCTTTCGCCTCTAAGGATTGCCTCCTCTGACAGCTGCTGACTAATTATGATCACTGGGCGCTGCTTCCAGTGCCCAGCTTCATGCCAGGTGCCAAGAAGGGGAAGTGGTTCTGGCTAACCAAGATCTCCCTCATTGCATGGCACAGCTAATCAGAGTCAACTTAGTGCGTGAATTCTTTTTTGGAATCCTGCCGTCTTTGAACTTTCCTCTTTGAAATAATAGTTTCTTCCTTCTTCATTGTGAATCACTCTCATTCCCATATAGTCTTTGTAGTTAATTCTAGTGACTTAACATTGCTTTATTGCCTTACCAATAAATAGTCATGGCTTTTTTATTTATTTTTAACTTTCATATTTGTTTGTAATGTCAGTGTGTCAGTACAGTTTGGTAGCAACAATTCCAAAACAAGTTAACATAATCTGGGCAAAATGAAAACATTCTATAATCAAATACAGAAAATGCTGAGAAAAATTTTTAAAAAGTCTCTTGAACTATCTGTATTTTTTATATCAAAAATATAAATTTATCAGCAAACAATCCCTGTGGCATGTTTAAAACTGTTTTATAGTTACCAGTATAATGGCTTGGTTGTTGGCATCATTGGGAGCCAAGTAATTTTAGGCTTGTTTTATTCTTCCTTATAGTAATAAAAATATGATGTTCCCAAGTCAATGTTCTGTTGAAAGGAATTTTTATCAAAATAGTTTTCATATCAGAAATCACTGTCACTGAAAGTGTATGCATTGTTTGTTTTTTATGATATCACTTTCTGTTAATGTCCGACAGACTCAAACTTTTTTATGCTTGCTATCTTATTTTTAAAAACCCTACTCCTAATATAAACCCTGGTCCAAATTACCAATATATTCATTTTTCGTAGTATAGTGTCCTCTTGAAAATTGGTCATTACCACATTAATGGCCAGTTGTTTTGTTAACAGCCTAAGGGTTGATAACATTTCAAACTAAGATGCTAACAATAACTTACCCTTTACTTACACTGAGGACTTGTTGATGTAACAGACTGCCTTGGTAACTGGTCATTCACCAACACTTAAAAACTGAAGGCGATGGGGAATTATATGTTTGTAAAACACTGTGTCATGTGTTCTAGACTACACAGAAGCTGCAGTATTAGTGTTAGTGTTAGTATAAGGTAGAAAGTTTATAATCCAATGAAGTTGGTCCATTATGTCCCTGGCAAATTGAAATGTATCAAATAGATGAACACAATCAGGCACATTTTATCTACTAATTAATTGCTTTGGGTATTTATTCAAAAATGTTTTTAGATGCCTACTCTGTGAGAAGCACAATTGAAGGCAATGGGTAAATGCAGCAAAAGGAAAAGAGAGGTACATTTAAAATGATTACTACCTAGCTGATTATAATTATACAAAATCTGTAATATGATTAGTGAACAAGAAGGATTCTGTGGCTATTTTCTGGAGCTTTGAAAATAGTCTAATTTCCCTCTTAGTTCAACCTGTTTCCTGTTTGTATTTTGCACAATCAATGCTTAAGTCCTTTTAAAATGGTGTAGTGTATGGTTTGGTCTTTCAGTGTTAGGTAATTGGTGTGAGAAACCAAACAAGTCATGAATGAATGACTTAAAAGGTAATGTTTCTCTACCTAAAACACTAGGCAACTATGTAAGAGTATAGGAGATGATAAATCAAGTTTCCCCGGACTAGTAAATCAATGGTAATAGTTAACATCGAGGACAGATAATTTTATCCTACTGAGATAAGAGTGGACATTTTTATGAATTATATCCAAATTCCTAGTTAATGTTTTCTCCCCCCACCAAAAAAAAAATACAAAAACCTTCCAGTGATGGACAGTGTTAAGTTCTGAATGTAACTCAATGTTGCTTTGAGCAGTGATAGTGATGTTAAGTTTTATATGTTCTTTGAATGACAACTACAAAAATTTAAATCATAATATATTTTCTTAAACATTATAAAACCTGCTAGTGTAGTAGATTTGATTTCTTTCAGATTTGTTCTCGTTTGTAGCCAGTTAACTGTACATAAGAAAAAGTACTGTCAATTCCTTTCAGAATGGTTCACTTTTTGTGAAAAGGCTGAGATCTCTTTTTTCCTGTAGAATATAAAATGGACAAATCTGAGAGAATTTGCCGACTTGTAAAATTTGCCAACTTGTTTCCTGTGTTCAGAAACACATTTGATAAAGGAACAGAAGTACTGACTTCTCAAAACTTCCCATATTAACATGTTTTCTCACTTGAACTATGAAGTCAGTGTGTCCATCAATATTATGTTTATGCCACCACCTAGAAATGAGTCTGTTAAAAATGTATCCATTTATCACTTTCTATTTCTAAATTTGGGTTTATGAAAAATTAGACATGGAAGCATTTTTAAACTAGAGTTTAAAACTAGCAGTAGATTCCAATTATTGTATAAAAATAGTGAAGTTTTAGTAACTATACCCAGGACTCTAGTTACTGCTAAACTGCCATCCTCATTTCAGTTTGAAAAATACAAATGAAGTAGCTATGATAAAAATCAGAGATTTCAAATTAAGATTTTCTGGCAAATGTTAAGCAGCCAGAACTATGAAAAAAATAACAAAACGCTTTAATTTTCATCTTGGAGGCAGTACAGGATATCAAAACCATTCAGGTTTATGGGGAATATTTTCTTATTTGCTGTTGCTGTTAAAGGCTGCAACTTCTTGTGTATTTTAAGCACCAAATCAGAAAAGCTGCATCTTGTGTCTCTGTGAATGGCTTCTTACTAGGGACTATTCAGAGCTACTTGCTGTGCTTTGTGCCATGAGCCTGCTTATAGCGCTTTTTTTTTTAGATGAAAAACTGAAAAAGCCTTAAATAAAATTTAATGCAGTTTTCTATTTTTATATGTGAGGATGATTTGTTTAAAATGAAACTACTGGGAAAGAGAGTTGTTTTATGCTTCACCATAGTTGTCAGTTAAAAAGGTTTGGAATTGCTATGCTGAGTACAGGTTTTGTGTGCTTTAATATAATAATACAGTAACTTTAAAATAGAAAGCAATGCATGGAGGGCATTAATAGCACTTTAATTTCATACTGATCAAACACAGTGCTTCTACATTTTTATATGAGGTTAAATTTATGTTAAGACATGGTTATGACCTTAAAAGTGAGTATGAATAGGGAATATTATTTATCTGATAGTGCACTGCAGATTTCCTTTTTATTATTGAATCAAATAGTCATTCTTTTTTTTTCATTGTCAACTGTTTTATATTAGATATCTGAAAATATTTTTCACAGAAAGCAAGTGTATTTTTATTTGAAAAAACACTTTGCATTCTTTTTTCAAAACTTAAAAACTTTTATATGGAGTGAAACTCTTCAAAGTTTTTTCTCTATGAGCTTTGAGTTTTCTTAATGCTTTATGAGTCATAACTTTTGTCATATCGAAATGTCTAATCTTCATGTTCTGAAATATTCTGCATATGAGTATCTTAAACTCCATGATCCGGTTAAAAGTACTATTATATCCCTTGTAAATTATCTTGTCTTATTTTTAGTTTACAGTTTTATAAAGCTATCTTAAGTTCATTTTTTCTTTATATCAGAGGAAAGTGTTACTGAATTATATTTCAAGCATTAAGAGTATATTCAGTTCACGAGCCAGTGGAAATCAGAAGTGATTTTGCTTTGTACAGTATTTTGGGAAAGTACCCTTCATTTCGTGTTGGTATGAATTCACATGATTAGTATTACTTTTTTTGTGTGTGTGACAACACTTTTGCGACAATTTCTGTTAAAAATATTTAATCTCCTTGTAGAGTTTACAAAATTAGCTGTCTTTAATTCTGTGATGCATCTGTTTTCAGTAAATGAGTATTTCATATAATCATTTTAGTTTTGTGAATTCCTGTATTGGTTTCAGACTTATAAAAATCGTATGATATTCACAAACATAGCCCTGCCAATATTAAAAACA